CTTACGATCCGCGGAATGCCATCGTTAAATTCTTAATAACATCTGCTTTATAATCCTCTCGTAACATTTTTGCATCTTCTTTTCCCACGAATGCATAAAAATCCACAGTCGATTATAATAACATTAGTCCAATTGTGCAAGAAGATGCTGATAGTTACCTATATACACAGTAAACTTCCAAATGAAAATATGGCGAGTCATTATTCCAAAGAGACGACGTAAAAAAGCAACTTTTCTAAATCTAAAAAGAGCGTCCCAATGGATGCACGACCTTCGTCAAATATTTACAATTATTTTTAGATTACCAAGGCGGAACGCTTCGTTAAGGATAACAGAATGCACGCATTCTGCGGCAATGGGAACTCCTAAACTCTATAAATCAACAGACAAGACCATTCGCTCTTCTAAATTACATCGAATATGTCGGAACGTTGTTCTAAATACGATAAACGTGCCGATGTGAAACAACGTTAATATAATACGTTGCAACATAGGCACGTCTCTTCTATCGTTTTTTTTCTTTCTTCCTTTTACAACACACCGACTTTAATTTATACGCTACTTTCTGCTTTGTATGTCGTTAGGACAGCCTAGGTTCGTAGGTTCGAACGCCTAGAGCGCCGTAGTTTACTTAATTACTGAGTCTTCCTATGGTCTAATGTGGTACGTCGAGTGGCTCGATAACTTTACACGATTAATTATTGTAATTATCCACGGGAATTGCGATTACCGCTAACGAAGACAATTAGTCGCGCCCAGAGCAGTACGACGATTTTTCATTTCTCGTCGAATTAAGTTACCTCTTTTCTTTGCTGATATAGAGATCGAAGGTAGGGGGGGGGGCTGGAAGCGATTCGCATAGAAAAAATCCATGTCTCGAGTCTTTAACTGAATCGTTTAATCGATACTGTGATATTATGTATTTTCAATACATTTGATCGATGGATCTTACGAGCGCAGAGGAACGCCATTTATCTGGATATTGTTGATAGCTATCCGGAAAAGTTAGAATATGTGAGATTATGTATAAGCGTGTGTATGGGAACAGTTTAGATTTATGATAGGTCAAGATAGTTCAACAGGAAATTCAAGAAGCATCGAATACGTCGAAGTACGTGTCAAGATATGATTGTATATAGAGCCCCTTTTTCGAATAACAAGCAATGAACGTGCAATGACAGAGTTATTAGTGCGCGTAACATATGTATTAATTACGAATAAATTTTCATTTGGTAATACAATGTCTGGATAATTGATGTTCTGCGGCGTCGTTCCGTGAACATTCGTTAAAATTTCGTCAACGCATACTTCTGAACCTTACAGTGTATTTGCTGTGACGAAACACTTGAGAATTGTTAGAGAATCATGTGAAACGAAATGTTTCCGATAAATTCGTATCGTTCACGTACTTAGCTTACATTGCTTGGGATTGCGTACCCGAACGAAATTCAGGGACACTATGTTTGATAATAATATATTAAATCTTTATGTTTTACGATTAGATATGCGAATATATACAACATGACAGTAAAGATCGACACGTTTTTCTATTTCCTATAGAAATTTTTAATGTCCTTTGGTTTCTTTCGCACACCTATAGTGCCTTTAAATCGATACTATAACTGTAACGAACTAGGATAATTCGCAGATATTGAACGTTTCATTCAGTAAATGAACGAAAACTTTGAATGAAAATCTACCAGATTGTGTAATAAGTGGACTGTGGATGTTTATACATTTGCTGAAAATTGAAATGTATAAAAATATGCAGAATATAATTTGATATAGTTTGAATATATAAAAATATATGAAATATCTACGGTCAAATATTTGTTATAATATTCAGAGAGTTAAAGAAACTTGTAATGAAATTTCTTGATATTTTCATAGACATTAATAGTTTTCAGAAATATTTCTAACTATATTGCATATGTGAGCGATAATGAATGGACATACGATAAAGCCGAGAAGCAACCGGGATATATTGCTTAGTTTGTATAATTTAATGATATAAAGTCAGAACGAAAATCAGGGCTGTCTTTAGTAAACAAACTATTTATAACTGAAATCACCACAGCTTCGTTAATTCTCGCAATACATGAAATATGTGTTAAGTTTCAATATACGGAGATTTTGTTAAACGGGTAATGGTTAAAATTAAAAAATAAAATATTTTCGACAATTTTTTAAAGATATACGACAGTTCAAACTTATTACACAACCTAATATAATACTCGTCGCATTTTCGATCGTTGGAAACAAACCACGTGGTTGTTTTCACGATAATTTTGACGAATGGAAAGAAGGACATTTACCAAGAAACATGAAAAATGAACTTAATGTGGCGACAGTCAATGTACTTGTAGTGAACACAGTGTTTGCTTGGATAATTTGTTTATCGATAAAACAGGATCGACAGTGAACACGAATTTGAATTTCATTTCGAAACGACCATCGAGGGCCTGTTAAATTCTTTTTCGAGGTTTCATTCATTGAATCAACCGACGATTGAATCAACTTCCTCGCAATCGAGGCTCGAATCCATTGAATGCAAACTTTGTAAAATATGCTGCTTTCGTTGGTCTTCAATGTAAAATGGGTAAAATTATCGAGACTATAAATAATATAATTCCTACACTGAATCCAGCATTAATCTTTTCGTTCATCAAAAAATCCATAGCATCCATATACAGCGACGTCTAAATGCCTAATGCAAAATTATAAGCCCATTTACATAAACGATTGGATGCAACCGTGCATTACCCTATTAGCTCATCGATGATGTGGTGTCACGTTACACTCGTAATACAAACATTAGATAATCCAACAGCAGAATGACTAGTACCGTTCAAATTACGTGCAACGTTTGTATAAATCTAGGTGTACGTACTCGTAATCGCGATAGGAATCAGAACATGCACGCGTAAAAGCCATAGAAAAAATAGAACTCTCTAGCGAGATCACCGTATTAAAACAAAGAACAAACGATCTATAACGCCTGTAAAATTAGGTGTACGCGAACATTGTGCTTCCTCGATTCATTCCGAAGTCGTTGCATCTCCCTTCGTTTAATTTCTAATTAAAAATCTACGCTTTCGTTTCTAGTAACGAGTTCTACGTATTTATGAAAATTATAGAAAAATGGAAGTCAGTATGACCAAGGTTCTCTTACATGATAATCTAACAATTAATATTATTAATAAATTAATAAGTTACAAATTGTAGGTAGATTTTCCTTTACAATTTAAAGTTTTACGTCTCGAACGAGTTCTAAATTGTAAAATTTATTCGCGGTACTTCGCTCGTTTAATTCAATTAAAGTTTTTATCTTTATAAGAGAGAATTTATACGATATATTCACGCTAAACGTATGAAGCTTGTATCAAAGAAATAAAAATGAAAGCTGCTTGGAAGAATACATATTTATAATGCAAAGAGGAAAACGAGCTTTTATATTTTACAAAAAGACATTAATATCCCAAATGGGATAAATCCTTAAAATTTGAAAAATTATAAACTGATCATTCTCATTACTTTCGTAGCTCCAGCGTTAATAATATGGCATTATTAATTATATTGTTCAAATTAGATATTAATTTAGTACTTGGAATTTGCAATTTGTGACATGTAAAATTTCACTAATAATACTAGTTCGATTGTGTAAGAGTACCCAGGTTTTAATTGCTATAAGAAGACACGGAACGAAAGGTATTCTTCCTTTTCTCCCGTTTCGTTAGGCGCGCATAAGGCCTGGACTAGCCAGAAAGGACAAAGGCAATGGCGAAATATTTCGTTTTCGGTTCACAGAACGATCGATCGATTACCGAAGATGAGACGTCAAGTACTGCGAGTAAGAGCTTCATTCTAAATTATTCGTCGATTGCTTGCTCGTAGCTGAATTATCTACAAACGTTCCGTCGCACTTGTGATCTGTGAATAGCGAATGCAATTGTCATTCGTACGTACTGTGAGCTCTGGAATTTTCGATTCGTACCATCCTTTGGAATAGAATCAAGTAACACGATGTATATCGATTTGGTCGTTTCATAAGTTCTGCTCCCCGTTTATTATCAATTGTCAATGCAGTATTCTTTTCTACTTATCAAATTATATATTTTGTTAGATAATTATTTTCGATTTTTCTAATTAGTTTAACACGCGCGTTGCTACTGCCGTATATATTGTATCGATTCAAATATTTAGCAATAGTAACAGAAAGACCACATCAAGTAGTCGAATTAAAAAAAGAAAAATAGCAACTGAGAATATAATCTACGAGACAAAAGAATATAACAGATAGTTTTTTAAGTTCCAGAGGGGAAATATTTATCAAAAGTTTCTACATACTATTTTTATCAAATAGATGTGGTAGCTTAGGTACAGAAAAATTAAAAGTTTTCGGATCACAAAATACGATGAAAGACAGCGGAGGTACTTCATATCAAATTTCTAATAAATAGAACAGCACAACTTATGAACCAACGTATTACATACACTAGGTTATTTGCTCGAAGAAAGATTTGTGCGAAGAACACAGAATCTCATCACTTAGGGTGACTACAGTCGAGTCGACTGAGTATGTGAAATGGCAAGTAAGAAGTCGCTTTGTGTAAGTGAAAATTTAGGCTAGTTCAGTCGAAAGTCGATTAAGGATCGAGTGATGGGTAAAGTTTTCGTATACAAACACAAAAATTTAGATACGCAGGTGAGTGAAACCTACTTTTTTAGATCTCAACTACGGTTTTTTACCGGACGCTCGTTGCAACCGATTAAGCCAGTCGATTAAATTTGCATTTACACAAAGCGACTTACTAAAATTTCTCACTGATCGACCACTTAGTCGAACCGTCTGAAGCCATCCTTAGCGAATAGTCTTCCCCGTTAAAGACACCAACGGGGGTTCTATGAACGTCCAGAATTTCGACGGAGAAGCGCTAGACGATGTCGTGGAGAGCAAACTCGAAAGTTTCGAGCGTTCTCGGGATTTTTTGCGTGGATAACGTTGACAGTTTCCTCGAGATCCTCGCGGTTTCTCGGAAGTTTCCCCACGTTCCTCCAACAGATTAAGTCCAGCATGGTTGGAAAAACTTGGAGGATCTCCGGCGACTTCCGGCCGTCTGGGAAGTTTCCAACTAGCCTTAAAAAATTCCGAACGCTCGCCCAACTTTCGAAATCCCTTTCGTGCTCGTGGACGTCCATCGATTTTGTTTCTCCTCTGGATAAAGTCGAGCGAAAAAGTTACACTTAATTATCGGTCATTTCACGATAGTCGTGCTAGTTCGAAACTTTTCACGTTTCTAATTCTACCCGGACACGATGAAAGGAATAGCAAGTTAAAAGGAGGAAAAAAGAAAAAGGAATTGAGGGGCGTGATCGATTATACCAAAGTCGATCGAGGGATTTGTCGCCGGAACCTTGACGGGCTTCGTTGCATCCACGATGAAATTCTTCTCTTCTAACGGTCGCGAATAGAGACGCCTCGATTTTTCGAATCGGGCAATTCTCTAGTTATGTTCCGTTCCGGATCGCTACGCGGATCTTCACTGTGGCTTACATCAAGCTGCACAGGGCTATCCCGTTCTCGAATGCTGATTGCAACGCGGTCGTTTCCATGCAGAACGCGCCATCCTCGTACATCGTCGCGATTCTTTGCTGCTGCACACGGCTCTCGCTTTGGGATCTGAAATCGTGCGTGAGATTAATCTTCTTGGGAATCGCGTGTCGCTCGAAAAATTGCATAATCGTGTAATCGTCTTCGAGGGGAGGAATATTCAGATTTCTTAACCCGTCCAATAGCAACGTGAGAAATAGTTGATGGAATAAAACGATATGGAATATCGTATCGAATTAAAAACAAATGTCGATTCTTGGAGGAAAAAGGAAATGAATAGTTCAGAAGAAGAATAGAATAGAATTTCAAATTGATTTCGAGTACAAAGATCTTCTATTTTCTGTCAAAATCGTAATAAAATATAAAAAATACTATAGATGGGCATATTTTGCTCCTTAGACACGAAAGTATCAACGAAACTTAGAAAATCGCGTGATAAACGTAAATCTCCTCGCGTGAACGATTCGATTCGTGTTAAATCAGAAAAGCACTGCGTCTAGCGATTTGTACTCGTAACGCATCCACCCATTACGATAGCCCAGGGAGTTGTAAGGCACGTTGCCGTTCAGTACGAGCGTCTGAATTATTTCGTGACTTCCTTCCTCACCAGTGAAACGTATGCCCTTTTCGCGCGTCTTTGAAAACTCACCTGGGAGGCATAGCTCGTGGACGTTGTTGCGTCCTCACTTGCTCCCTCGAGACTTGCTGGTTAGAGAGGTAGCTGCTATCTCGCAGAACGGTTCCCTGATGGTGGTGGTGATGGCCAATGGATCTCTCGTTGTTCTGAGAAAGCGACAACTGCGCCAAATATTCTCTGAGTTCGGGCTGACTGGCCAACAATTCGCGACGCGTCTGAACGTTTGGTGCCGTAGGTGTCGTCGTCGCTGTCGTAGAATCTGACCATGGAGGAGGTGGTGTATGGGATCGCGATATCATGGCGTATTTATGACACAGGTATTCCTCGTAGGTGGGTGGCAATCCGGTCTGAAAAATCCAAGATTTTTTTACATGTTCCTTTTACCGACATCCTTCGTGCTTTTCGTCTTTTCGAACAGGACATTCTGCACATTATGACGCAAATAAAAATATTTTCTATCATTTAGGGTTTGTGTTGTTGTAAAAAAATGATATTCAGCCAGATAAGATAATGATATATCGTTTAAATTATTATTTTTCAAATATTTTACTTGAATACTGGCCAAGCTTGTTAATTTAAAAATTCTAAATTTACCTTCACGTTGAACGAATTATAAAAATATCAGAATTATCAAGCTTTATGGAGTTTTTCTAGGTTTCAAGCATTACCCTCGGACTTTAGAAGTTTTTCAATTATTAGAATTTCATAGAGTTCCGAGCACTTTGTACGTGGAATATTTAATTCGAGAATTTCGAATTTTATAACAAACTACCATTGCTATTGTTGTTAAATATATATCCAGTAATTGGAATTAAATTTTTAACTTATAAATAACTGGCTTCGTGAACAATTCCATGGCAGTTTCAACACACTGCAAATTTATCGTGATTTCGATTTCAGAGTCTGTTTTGTTGTAATTTTGGGCTGATTGTCAAAGAAGAATTATATTCGTTAATGACGCAGTCCAGAGAGTTTGGCATTTAATTACTTGTATTGTTCGTGTGTAATCGACTAAATCTCTATCGTAAAGAGTTAAAGCCGAGATGATGGAATTGCATTAAAATACAGTTGAAATGTAATACAACCACCAACAATGGTAACACATAAATTTTGTAATTTGAAGAATAAGCGAGCGATGCGTTTCTATGAAAGGACTGTTGCAGTAAGTTCGACGGAGAATTATTATTTTGTTTCACTCCTTGCTTTACAGAAATGCTCTTCTGGTTTCTACTTCGTTAACTTTCGAGAAGAATTTCAAAGAACTACCAGGAAACTCGTAGCGAGTTTTGTCTGGATTTCTACACCCAAAAGTAGGGAATTAATTCACAACTTATTTATAAATGTTAATCCCTACATCAATTTGTCGTTTTGAAGAATACATTAACTCTTGGAATTTATTTGAAGAAAGAAAATGAAAGAAAGATTTCCTGCAATGATCAGGAATCGAACAAAGTGCAGTTACTTGAAAAGCAGAAATGCTGCTCGCATCTATTCAACCAATCTACCGTCAACTTCTTTCTTCGAATAAACTCTTTAAGTTATTTCCATGAAACACTTTCCTATGACACGATACTTTCTTTTTTACTTCTTCAATTCGGTAGACAAATGACAAAAGTCACAATTAAAGTTAAAGAAAGACAAATTACAAGTTAATTACAGTTTGTAGCGCTAGAATTATGAAATCTTTAGAAAACGATGTCGACCAGTTCCACGTGCCACACATACGATTATTATAATAATTTTTCTGTACTCGGAATACTTCGATGTAAACTCTTTATTGTAAACTGCTCGTAAGAATTTTCGTTCCAATTTCCATGTCGGACTAATTCGCAAGTTATGAAACAGAAAAAGGGCAACGAACTGTAATCGAAGCAATCAAATCGAACACGAGCGGTGACGGTCGATAAAACGGTAGCAAGAATGGAGCGGTACAAACTCGGCAGAACTCGAGGTGTTCTGGCATCGTTACTGGGTGTTTCAAGTGGGTCGCCATCGGGGGTGGCAGTGTTTTTCGCAAAGGGTAACCGCGACGTGGTACGAAAATTTATGTGTCGCCCGGCGCCGAGAAACTACGCGGTCGAAATGGCTGGCCACAACCTGAATGGTTCTTCAGTTAAGGAGCAACTCGAAGAATTTGCCTCTTGTTCTCCTGTTTCAACCCCTGCCCATCCATTTTCTTCTTTTTTTTTTCTTTCTCTCTCCGATACTGTACAAAACGTAACCGTGAGCGATCCACGATCGTTACAAGAATTTCTTTGCTCTTTTTCGACCGACTACCTCGTCCATGAAACTACGTTAGGTCTGGCCTTGTTCGGATCTGGATAGAAGGGGGCTGCAGAGAGTTGATTATTCGAATAATCGAATATTCAGCAAACAAGACTGGAGTTAGCAGAGTGGATCGAGCGTTTTGAATATTCAAGCATTAATTTTACTGTCACCGGATTACACGCACACCGACGTATACCTTATCACGAGATTAAAATTCGGGCTTTTTAAATTCATTCGTCAAGCTCATTCTCAACAGTCTCGTTCTATCGCGAATCTAAAACGTTCAAATGGTAAATTCACCGTCGCAATATCGCTGCACCTTCGAATTTTTTTTCCTATACGTAGATGAATGGTCACGAAGGGCAAACGAATCGCGAGATTATTTGGAAAAATATATCTATATATCTATATATATATTCTACTGCAATCATCGAGGAATTAGGGCGGCTTCGAGATAGCTAGAGCATCGATTTTATGGATTGCACCGGTTCTGCGGTCGTTTTAATTTCGTACACCGAACTCAGTCCATCAAAAACGATGTCCTGGTTTCCTTGAATTTGGTTAATCGTCGATTAAACGGGAAAGAATTCGTTTTGTTCCATGCCAAATGAAATTTCCTTTATCTAGTTTCCTTGTGCTTAATTAGTAGCTTGAGCATGTAATTAGTGAAACGTCAATTCGTTTACAGAAGGTCTACGAATTCACTGGTCGATTACGATCTGCTATCTAACAAGTCTGACCACGAGCGTGCTCTGTTACTGCGGTCGTCCAAGAGAGAGTGCGATTCTATCTAGCGTCTGACTAGGACAGGTCATTACTACTCAATAGTTAAATCCTCATCGTCACGTTTGAGAACGGTGAATGGCTTCTAATTCCATCGTGTGCCGTCGATACATCCATTCGCTTGGCAATTTCGTGACACACGTAACTAGCAACAAACCGTGTCCGTTCTGTTTTTTTACGGCATCACCGAACAACGCGTGTTTGTGGAGATAGAAATACTTGTCGCTGGAATGTTAACGAATGTCTAACTTTTGATCAAAGAGATTTCTGTACGAGGAAAATACCTAGATGTGCTTTTCGTAAAGCATTGGAAAGTTATATGTGATATTTCGCAAATCCCAATTTTGCCACAATGAGTATGCGAATAAATAAATCAAATATTATTTTTATGTTTGTCGTTTGATTATCAACGAAGTCTTTTACTTATTCGCCCATTATATAAGATATACAAGAAAATTAAAAGAGTCGTTTGGAAAGCGTTGAAGAGTTGCAAGCCATGCGAGAAAGTTTGGGAAAATTGAGTCGTATTGACTGAGAGCCTATCCGGGTGGAGTATGGAAATTCCATAATTTCTACTATTTTATGACACAAATTAATTATACGAATTTCAATGACGATATATGCGAATAACTGGGAATAACAGAAAAAGGAGGAGTTTCGTTTAATTAACGCGTTTATATAAAAGAGAAGCAAGTGTTAATTATAAGGAACTTCGTTAGAAAGGCTAATTACGTCGACCGTGTTCTCCGTTTGAAAATCTATTTCTAACTGGGGGTTAATGATAATCACTTACCTGCCACGTTTTCGAGATCGCTACGTCATAGGTAGGCGGCGGCGATACCATAGAAGGAATGGCGTAAACGGGTTGCGATCTACTTTGCGCATTTAATTGACTATTTCCGGTTTCGTTGGCGCTCGCGTTCGGCGTGTCTGGAATGGTAGCATACAGCGCCTCCGCTATAGCGTTTTCCCGAATCCCGCCGCCGAGTATGCTCGAACCAGAATCTACAAAGAAACGTCAAATAATCTGAAAAATGTTCGACATGAGCTTGGAAAGAAATTTCAAGTTTAAAAAGTATCGTATTGCTCCTGAATTGCTGGCTTTTGTGACGTGGAAAACATTTTTTTTTTTTAAGAAATAAATCTTCACGAATTTATCTGAGAAATTCGCAATTAGAAACGAATAAAATCGATTGAGTATAGAATCTGTTTTTTTGAAAATGCATATATCGAATCTTAAATCTATCAAAATTTACGTACAATGCTCTAAAAGTTGAATAAATTATCAAGATATAACAGTTATCGATATTGATATTACGGTAAACGCTAAATATTCTACGATTTATACTCATGTAAGTAGTTCTAAGACTTGGCAATTAATATTAGGTCGCCCGAAAAGTTTCTTTCGTTTTATAAGGAAATAATGGATGCACAATATCTTTCCGTTTTATATTATTTTATCGAATTACGTATGATCCATTTTGTTCTATCAAGATAAAGATTACAACGTTCGACAGATTAGGTTTCATGTTTATATAAAGATGCGTTGTTGTAAAAGACGTGTCTGTAAAAGAAAGACACTTTTCGCACAACCTAATACAATGAATTATTCGAATTATTAAACGTAAGATCTGAGGTCGATATTGGTTTCCATAAATTGAACAATTAAAATTCTGTATGTCACCGACCTATATAAGTATAGTGCGACTCCGCTCTGTCTGCGCTTCGGGTTCTCCTTGAGTGATTCAACCGCTTCTCGTGTTTGCTACTTTTCGTAACTGGTCTAGCTTGTTCTGTCACCGAGCTGCAGCTTCCTGTTTCAGAACTTCTGCTCTTCCCACGAGCGTCGTCTTGTTGTTTCTTGGCAGCCCGCCCGTCCGACTTGCTACCCTTCGACTTCGATATTCTGATCGTAAGCTTCCTCGAGGACAGGGCGCCACTTCGTGATTTTGGCAGATCGACCACAACTCCGCACCCGCACACTGGCGCGTTTTCATTAGGCATTCTGCAAGGACAGAATCTTCTTAGAATGCAAGTCATGAATATTCTCGATTATTATTCTCTAGAATTAGAACTAAACTACAAGTGTTAATGGACATTCATAGCTTTACGGGCGTAAAATGTCTCACGACTGTTCTTTATTTCTGATTGCTATATCACCTGGTTTGAGGACAAAAATTGGAAATATTTATCAAAGGAGAAATTAGAGTATACTGAAGAGAACATAAGCTGTAACGAAGGCAAAGTAATTAACGTCACTGTGTATAACATATTAGTAATTAATGAACTTCGCTATCAAAATTCTATCGCGTCTCTCAATTTGACTAAAAAGTCGAAAATTATCGAATTAGTCTAGAAACTGTAGAAGCTTAAATCGGTTGACCAGTAACGTCATAAATCTCTGAACATAGGTCCAGCTACGAACGCCCTACAATTCCCTTAAAAGCTTAACAGATACCTGCGTACGCTCACTCACAGAGCTTCCATCCATTTATCGGAAAAATTTGCCAGTGTTAATCATGGAAAATAGCACGACCAACTCGCCTAAGCGTCCAAAATCCCCTTTTAAAGAGATTACCACCGGAATTAATCGAAACCACGAGTGGCAGTGAGTCGGATCTCGAATTGGCCGAACTAAACGCCATTTCTCTGGAAACGATATCATTCAACGAATACTCTGACATTGATAATCCAGGTTGGTTAATGCCGTTCGATAATAATCAGCCGGAACAACACTACGTGTTTCGCTAGATCGCGTTATCCAGTACACGGGCGCATTGCCATTAATAACAAGCACATAATGGTCCCTGATAGAAGTCATTGCGCAACGTTTGGCCCTTCACACTGGGTATACAACGTTCGATCGTCCGTGAACCCGATTAGGCGAACTCGTAGGTGGAAGGACGATTCCTTTGTGGAAAACTGCGGTTATTCCCTGAGCCGGCCAATACTCGTCTATTTTGAATTGTGTAGTATAATAAGGAGAAGAGAGAAACCTGTATAAAGAGAAGAGGAGGTGGAATTTATGGTAAATGATTTTGGAATGACTTCTTTAGAATATTTTTCAAATGGCAATCAATAATGTTGTTAATGGTGTTGTGGGGCCCACTGCAGATACTCGATGAAATTATCTAAAGAAAAGTATTTTCTAACTATTCCATTTGTACAAACACTTTCTCTCGCCTAGCTGACATTGCTAAGAAATCTTGTATAGTTCGCGAGCAGACTTCGAACGAAGTATATCTTCAGTTTTAATTTATCCTACATTATCAAGGGACGGAAAACCGAATATAAAATCATATAACGAAATTTCAAGTTTTGCGACAATTGGGATGTTCATATACAACCACAAAATAGAATCTTAACCTCGATTAAAACTTCGTCGAATTGCATAACGTCAGACTATCCTTTACTCGAGGAAAGCAGCCTCTTGCCATAAATTCGATGTTATTCGGCATTCTCGACGGTAATCGTCTTCGAAGCCGTCCAAGTTCTCGACGAGGCAGCGTCGCAGACGATATAATGAATCGATAATCGTCCCTGCGGAGAAGTTTGCGAACGTCTGTCCTGTTCGGTTAATTATTCGACTCCCGTGAAAACTCTGCTTCTCCCTTTCTCGGCCGAGAAGGGGAAACATCGATGTTCGCCAAAGAGTCGCTGCTTTGATCCAGAGAGATTTAAAGGCGTGATTTACTGGAATCCGGAAAGGAGTCGCTTTCTTTCTTTCTTCTCGCCTTTGTCCGTGCTCCCTCGCCGGAACAATGGATTCGATCCTTTTACAATGCTCCGGGCCTCCTCCCTTTTTCGTTAATTTGTCTTTGAACGGAGGATTCGTCGCCGCGTCGAAGCGTTATCGCGCGTTTTCCAGGCCTCTGTGCAACGATTCTCATCGAAAATATTCTCGCGTTCAACAGCGACGGCGGGACGAGCCAGCCAGAAATTTCGCGTCGACTACCTTCTGCCATTTTTACAGTTTTAACGAGTTCATTTTCCTGTGTGCCATACGTAACGCGCGTGATACTTTTTGCATTATATTTATTCCTTCTTTCCACGAAACGAAACAAAATTCTATTTTCACCGACGCTTGTGAAAATTGCAACAGAAAGTTACGACCATACGATTCAGCACTTTGTTGAGAATTGTGGATCTTAGTCGCCGAAATAAATGTATAGGAATACTTAGATTACAATTAGAATTGATATAAAAATAGTTTCAGATTTATTTGATATGTGATTTACAAGATATTCGTCGATACACATTTGCACGCGTCTCAGCACTCTCTTTGTCTCGCCATCTTCTTTACCAACGGAATAACACTACCAACGGAACAGTTGCATTCTTCTGTTTTACGAGACGCTGTGCACGCACATACTCCCACACACTCATACTCATATGTGTGTGTCACTACTATGCGGCTAACACAGTGGAGCACACGAAATTACACATGTCTCAATACACTTAAAGAGTTATATTTAACAGTGTCTTAATCGAAGACCCTAACTTACTTCTGCGATATATTAAATAAATGCTTTAACGTAATATAAAAGTTAAGGTGGGAAACCACGTATCATTTAATACCTACAGCACGTATAATCGTAATCGTCGGAAACATCGTTAGATATCCTCTAAAAGTTACGAAATATTCGCTCCTTTCTCTTTTTCTCGCGTAAATTTCATTTCTCTCTCGTCTCTGGTTTACACGAGTTTCTAGCAGGCTTTCTTGTCGGTGAGAGAAACGAGCACGTCCTTCGCTAGTGACACAATCCAATTTTCGTATCGCCGTCGATTCGAAAGTATACACCTTTCTCCTGCCCCTTGTATCACATACCTTTTTTCAGCCTTGTCCCGGGAGATTAGAAGAGAGTTACACAGGCTACTCGCCCCATGGCGTCTCCAACCCTCGTTTCTTAGCCCATTTCCGCACAAAACTGGATTTCAAACTCATCCAACGAGCACTTTCGGCTTTGAGCGTGTTATACATCTTTTGAAATGTTCGACATGTTTTGTTCTTGCCTACGTATCCCCTTCTTTTTGTCTCTTGGAAAAGATTCGTAATTTTTACTGAGACACAAGCGCAATAATAAATTGAACTTCCAATTCGGTTCTATTTACGATAATTTTAAAACTTTCCCTATATTTAATTACTGTTCTTTTTAATTAATAGCTTATATTTCATTTATTTCATTAGATGAATTATTTTTGTATTTTGTTAAACTAGTTGATAATTTTAACAAAGTTATATCACAAGCCTGTCAAAATTCAGCACTATGCACGCGAGTTCGGAAATGAACTGTAATTACTTTGTGTTGTCAATCAATCGCTTTATGTTTCGTGGCTCCTAAATACTGAGAAATTAGAATTATAATCGACATTACACGCTATGTTACAAGAATTATCCGAAACAATAGCCATTAGCTAACTGTATTTAGGCCAAACGTTCCTGGCTATAAAGTACGAACAACTGAAACAAACTCGAGTGTGCAACATTCAAACTTAAAACACGAGTCGATCATCAAATTAAAAACTAGAAGGAGACAGCTTTGATATGGAACTGCTTAAAAACACATCGAATTTTAAAACTGCTTCTCTATAAAAGATAGGAACTGTGATCTTCGTGCGTACGTGGATCCAAATATATCGACTACAGATTGCAAACGTACAATCCAGAAGAATTCTAAAACGTTCATACCTTGAAACGGAGACAGCTTTCACAGGGAATCGACGAAATTAATTTCTTAGTTCGTATAAAGGAACGACGATATAATATCAGCAATTGAAGTTGCCTACTACATTTCATGAACACGCGTACTGTCACGAGATGCATCCGGAGGGCGAGAAGAAATCGTTGCGCGAAAATTAAATTTAAATCTTAACCAGCTTCCGATCGCATGGATTCCTTCCGTCGTCTCGCAATCCTACAGCGAGTTCTCTCGAGTCTATGTATATATTTCTGGTTTTCGAGCAAAAATATATGTATATGCATATAGAAGACATCGTTGTAAGTGCTGGAGAGATTAAGTTAAATTGCTGCGCTACTTTGTTCGAGAGTCGCTTTAACCCATCAGGAATTTTCAGACTGAAGAAATTCTTTAAAGAAGAAATTTCTTAGAGTAGGTTTTAGCGTTTAATAGTTGCAGGTTTCTTCTTTAGCCGGATCCTTTGTTTTTGCGCAGATTAAGGATCCAGACGGCACGAGACGCGGATGCTCGTTCGTGCTCGAAGCTAAATCCGCCTCCATCATGTTGCTGAAAACGAGCTGCTATATATCCAAATTTTTCGACTGACATTAACGATCTACAATTTTCTACGGTTAATCTAAAGCATGTATCACCTTTGTAGCGTTTTGTTTCATAAAACGTAGCTTGTAAAATCCAGCTATGTAACTTAAGTTTCTTCTGCTCAAGTAGCTTCTAATTGTATCATGTTATTATCCGCGAAGAAGCTAATTAGGATCGCGTAATTAATTTCGATGCATTTAATAGATTTTAGTATGTTTCGTAGCAACTTATTTAATATTATACAGAAAATGAATACTAAATTCCAATCTCTTGTTGCGATTAATAGTCGTTCGTTAAAACTGGCTCGAGAGCTTACTATTCTAGAACAAACAGCAATATTTCCTGTTGATTACAGTATACGCTTTAACTAAAGTTTTCAACAGTCATTTAATTACCATGTGTGGTTGTAACTTTACTAAGGAACGTTTCCCATTAAACCAAAGAGGAGCAAAAGTTATGAACAACAGATTATCGCGCCGCGATTCGAGTAGCTCGAGAAATTGTTACGTGCGAAGGATTAACTAGTCATATCGAGGTTAATGATAGAATTCTGTTGTCGATGTTCTCCACGAAATAATCGTTCGAAGGAGTGGTAAACAACGCCGCTGACAAGATCACGAGGAGCAATTTATTAATGGGATAAATTGTATTTCCGTCGGTCCTTTCGACATCGAAGAAACATGAAAACGCTTCCGGTGGATCGACGCGCTCCAAGCATCGAAACTCC